GTCCCCGCGGACGGGCGCTGCGCGCTTACAAGTTTGCGCTCCTGCTTCTCCAGGGCGCAGCCCCCGCTACTTTGTAGCGGGTTGGGGTTCCGGTCCCATCTCCTCTGCGAGGGTGAGAGCGGGCCCAGAGCGACCTTGGGCCTGGGGAGTTTGTCTGTGGGGGTGCAGCGGCCTGACTTCTAAGCGCAGGTATGTCCCCATCCTTAAAAGAAATGACCCAGGCCCAGAGCACGTGGCAAATGGCGAACCACAGGGCTCCTGGGCGCCGGTTCGGTGCAAAAACTTTTCTTTAACGTAAAGGAAGCGTGCATTCCAGGCTCCCCTGGGCAGGACAGCTGCTTCTAACGGGCTTTTGGGCTTGTTAAAAAACTGCTGCCCTACCGTTGAGGTCGAGTCGGCCCCAGTGATGTCCGGACGCCCCGGTGAGGTTGGGACGGCCCTGGTGAGGTTGAAACGGATAATGGGGATCAGTATAGACTAATGAACAGGAGTAGATGCAGAGGCAGAGCAGCATTGAACAGACTGTCAAACTACAGTGGGAAGCCTGGGGAGGGTTTGGGGGAGGGGGGGGTTCAGAGATCAACCGAAGGACTTATATGCATGCATATAAGAATAACCAATGGACACAAGATACTAGGGGGTAGGGGAGGCCGGGGGAATGTCAAGGGGGGAAAAAAGGAGACATATGTAATACTCTTTGTAATACTTCAAGAAATAAAAATTATTTTAAAAAAAAAACACAAAACAAAACTGCTGCCCTAGCCGGTTTGGCCCAGTGGATAGAGAGTCAGCCTGTGGACTGAAGGGTCCCAGGTTTGATTCTGGCCAAGGGCACATGCCTGGGTTGCTGGCTCGATCCCCAGTGGAGGGTGTGCAGGAGGCAGCCGATCAACGATTCTCTCTCATCATTGGTGTTTCTATCTCTCTCTCCTTCTCCCTTCCTCTCTGAAATCAATAAAGAAATATATTTTTTTTAAAAAAACTGCTGAGATCCACTTGACTTAAGAACGTCCCAGCCCGGACAGAAATTTATAAAATTATTTGAGTCAAGCAAGATACACCGGGATGTAAGATAGCAACAGACAGAAAAATGCTTTTGCAGTCCCTTTATGCATTTGTATTACCAGATCCTTCTGCCCAGTGCTGTTGGCTCCAGTAGAACCAGTTTCATAAAGACAAGCAAAAAGTTTATTATTGCCCTAGCCGGTTTGGCTCAATGGCTAGAGCGTATTCCTGCAGACTGAACGGTCAGGGGTTCAGTTCCAGTCAAGGCCACAGGCCTGGGTTGCAGGCTTGATCTCCAGTGGGGGGCATGCAGGAGGCAGCTGATCAGTGATTCTCTCTCATCATTGATGTTTCTATCTCTCTCTCCCTTCTCTGAAATCAATAAAAACATATTTTTTAAAAAAAAAAAAAACAACCTTTATTTGATCAAGGAATAGAGAAAGGTGGGCTCATGCTCAAAAGTCACCTTCTTCCCCTGGTTAGGGTTTGGGGAGGTTTTAAAGAAACTGGTTGGGTAGGTGGGATCAGGGAGCGGGGTGTCAGCAGGGGTGGGAAGTGACGTCTGGGGAGAGTATGGGAGGTCCTGTGGGCTCCCTTTCCACAGGCACTGGTTGTGCCTAGTAGTAGAGTTCTCCCTCCTGGGTGTGAGTTTTAGTGAAAAGGAAAATGGGGGGGGGGAGGGGGGCGGGGCTGCAACCTAGTTCAGTATCTGGTTAAAACTGTGGTCTTACTTCCCCACTCTGACTGACTTGGGCGGAGCTGCAGAGCCTAACTCCAGCCCCCCCCCCCCCCAACAGCTGACTTGGGCGGAGTTGTGGGGACCCTCAGGGGGTCAGAGCCTCCCCACGAGTTCAGTTCAGGCTTTGGATCCGGATTCCCCTGGACTAGCAGATCTGCGAAATAAAGGTTAAACTTTCTTCCCTCAGAGTGCTGGCTGATCGTTCTCCCATGCATTCTGCCATAACATTATATATATATATATATATATATATTTTAATCGTCACCTACGGATATTTTTCCATTGATTTTTAGAGAAAGTGGATGAGAGAGAGAAAGACATAGAGAAATATCGGTGTGAAAGAAAGATGGATCAGTGGCCTCCTGCTCGTGCCCTGACCAGAGCCCTGGCTAGGGAGGAGCCTGCAACTGAGGTACGTACCCTTGACTGGAATGGAACCTGGGAGCTTCGGTCCGCAGGCCTACGCTCTATCCGCTGAGCCAAACCGGCTAGGGCAGTGTTAGTACATTAATGAAGGCAAAGTCACCAGAGGTCTGGGTGGTGAGGGTCTGCCCACCCTCTGGAGTGGTCACGCGCCACTGGTTCCGTGGTTGAGCTGTCTGCAAGGGTTAACCATCAGCAGCTCACCTTGGTTCCTGGAAGCAAGCACAGCTTGTGACCTAGTTTAGATATTTGGGAACAGTAGGGTTTCCTAGGTGATAGCCCTGTGGTATTTTTTTATTGTTGAAAGTATTACAGATGTCCTATTTTTTTTAATTTTTTTTTATTTTTTTGCCCATTGACCTCCTCTACCCAGCACGAGCCCACACCCCCTTGGCCACACTATTGTCTGTGTCTGTGGGTTATGCATATATGCACATAAATACTTTGGGTAATCTCTTCCCATCCACCCTCCCTCACCTTCCCTCTTGGAATCAAGGAGGAAAATAAGGAAGACTAAGTGAAGGTGGGAGAAGGCAAGGTGGGACTTGGATTAGAGCAGTGGTTCTCAACCTTGGCTGCACATTAGAATCACCTGGGAATCCTTTTAAAATCCTGATTTCTGGGCCTCATCCTCCGGAAATTCTGTTTCTTTGTTACTAATGTTGTGGCCTCACCCCATAACAAAGAAACAGAATTTCTGGAGGATGAGGCCCAGAAATCAGGATTTTAAAAAGATTTCCCAGGTGATTCTAATGTGCAGCCAAGGTTGAGAACCACTGGATTAGAGGATGGTCAAAAAGATTACACCTTCCCATGGGGGTGGTTAGGCCTCCAAGGGGTGTGGAAAAGAGGATTACTCTGGCATTTCAAAGCTGTATTAACTTAGACCAAGCATGTCAAAGTCAAAGGCTCACACAGGCCAAATAAACAAGGTTTAAGTTCATGTGGGCTGCAAAAAAACAAGAGCTTCAATTTTCATAGAAACTTAGGTTTATTTATCTATAGACATGCTGAATACAAAGGGCTGAAATAAATGAGTTATCGTTAACATAAAGTAATAGAACATTTTAATAAAAATTAATATTTTTTCTTGAGCATTAACTTACCAGACACTGAATAACTGCACAGATAAGCAAAACGCAAATAAACCTATTTTTCTTGTTCTCCGAAAGCAAAATATTTCCTGTTGTGCACACCAAACAAGTCAGTCCAAGACTAAATGATGTGGCAATCCGCTGCTAAAATATTCGCTGCTAGGCCCTGACCAGTTTGGCCAGTGGCTAGAGAGTCAGCCTGTGGACTGAGGAGTCCTGGTTTCGATTCTGGTCAGGGGCATGTACCTTGTTTGCGGACACATCCCCGGTGGGGGGTGTGCAGGAGGCAGCTGATGGATGTTTCTCTCTCATGGATGTTTCTCTCTATCCCTCTCCCTCTCTGTAAAAAATCAATAAAGTATATATATATTTTTAATTATTTTTTAATTTTTTTTAATTGCTTAAAGTATTACAAAGAGTATTACATATGTCTCCTTTTTTTCCCCCGCCCTTGACAATCCCCCAGCCTCCCCTACCCCCCAGTGTCTTATATTTTTAAAAAATATTCACTGCTAGTATTAGTGGAGAGAAATGGTGCACCTGCGCATAAGGTGTAAGGCGAGTAAGGGAAATGAATGCAACACCATTTTGACTGTAGTCAAATGAATCAGTCATTCATTTGGCTCAGTGGATAGAGCGTCAGCCACAGCACCATTTTGATTATAGTAATCAGTCATTAGTGAATGTTGTAGTTCGTTATTGATAATTATGTATAACAGGATATTGTAAAAATTAAGTTATGAAGTTTTTATTAAAACATTTCTTACATACTGTTATATTGGCTGGGCCGCAAAAATATTCACTGTGGGCCGCATGCGGTCTGCGGGCCCAGAGTTTGACATGCTTGACTTAGATGCACAAGAATAATGGACAGGGCTTGTTTAAGGCAAAGATCAAACTTAAAAATATATATATATATATATATATATATATATATATATATTGATTTTAGAGAGGAAGGGAGAGGGAGAGAGAGATAGAAACACCAATGATGAGAGAGTGTCATTGATGGGACGCCCCACACTGGGGATCGAGCCTGCAACAATGAAATCATGACCTCCTGGTTCTTAGGTCAATGCTCAACCACTGAGCCATGCCAGCCAGACTCACTTAGCATGATATGCTCTGCCGGAAGCCGGTCCATCCTTGCTGCTTGACACAGTCGCTGCAGGGAAGAAACATCTGCACAGCTTATGTTTCAAGGGACCTGGCGTATATGGCATACTGCTCTTAAAACACATTGTATATGGGAAACGTATTTATACGTTTTACGTTGACTGGTAAACACAATTTCCAGTGAGTTTTCCAGTATTTGTCTGTTTAAAATTTAAGAAAAATAATTGAGTATACATTTTATAGTAAATCACAAAAAGTTTCATTGAAAAAAATATGTAAAACTAAAGTTATTGTAAGTTTACTGAACGTTGCCATTTGTGCAAAAAATTAGCAAAAACGGCCCGCATACAATGTGTTAATATGTTTGCTCCCTTTCTTGGCGCTATGTGTTTTGACCAAGGTCACCTCTCTGAAAAAGGTTGTTTCCCCAGGTAGGGATTTTCCCCTGAAGTTAGGGAGGGAACAAAACCCCTTAACTAAGTGCCAGGCGGGTAGTTAATCACTTTAACTAGGAACAATCACGCTTAAACTACATAATCCTTACTCCCTGGAATGGAGATAAGAAACGCCCTAACCTTTGGAATAGAAATTGATAGGATTAAAATCAACTGGTATAGGACAGTTCTGGGGACGTGGGAGTGAGGCCTACCTCTGCCGACATGCACCCACAGAACTTCCGACCCCCGACTCCTCCTTACCCCGGCCCATGGGTAGGAGGTTGGAGCAGCGGGAGCAGCTACCGGGGTACCCCTGGCGAAGGCAGGCCGCGGCCTCCCTCCCCTCCGGACGAGTACCGGATCCCGCATCACACGCCGTCGTTCGGGCCCGGGTGTAGGCCCTATGGGCGCAGCCACTCTGCGCAACACGGCGGCAGCTTCCCCGGGGGCCGGTTTGGGTCTCCATCCCCTGGCGGCTACCCTGGCTCCTACTCCAGGCCCCCCGCGGGGTCCCAGCAGCAATTCGGCTACTCCCCGGGGCAGCAGGCCCACCCCCAGGGTTCTCCAAGGACATCTACACCTTTTGGATCAGGGCGTGGTAGAGAAAAAAGAATGTCTAATGAGTTGGAAAGTTATTTCAAACCTTCAATGCTTGAAGACCCTTGGGCTGGCCTAGAACCAGTGTCTGTAGTGGATATAAGCCAACAGTACAGCAATACTCAAACATTCACAGGCAAAAAGGGAAGATACTTTTGTTAACATTTCTGAAATTCAACTGGAAGCTTCATGTGTCAGGAACATCTTGGGCAAAACTCACTTGTGTACCTAAGTTGAACCCTGACATGGTGACTTTGAATAATTAGTTGAGTCTTCTTGGTATTTTTCATCATGTCAAATATTGTTGGTATTAGAAAAGAAATATGGTAGGATAATTTGGAATATTTCTCTGAAAGTGCCTACCACATTTTAGAAGATTTACAGTTTCCAACTATTTAACATTCTTGGTTATATAATGGACATTTGTCTTTTAATGTTTTTCCAGTGTTTTAAAATAAAACATTTTGTCTTCCTAAAAAAAAAAAATCAACTGGTATAAATACAGATGTAATAAGACAATAAAATACAGAACTTGGCTGGAGATCCTGGACAGAACTTGGCTAGAGATCCTGGCTAGGCTGCTGATCAACTGAACGCTGTCTCCGTGTCATTCCTTCTTCACCAACTCCGTCCACACCTTTGTGAACCCCTGGACCTGCTGGGGCAGGACCCCAACAATGCTCTGTAGATTTATCCATATTGTCACAAATGGCACCATGTCATTCTTTTTTATGAATGGGTAATAATCATTGTATATATGTACCACATCTTCTTTATCCATTTGTCAGTTGGACATTTACTTACTTTGCTTCCATATCTTGGCTACTGTACATAAAGCTGCAATGAGCATAGGGTGCATGTATCTTTTTGAATTAGTGCTCTTGATTTCTTCATATAAATACACAGTAGTGGAATTTCCAGACTGTATGGTAGTTCTTTTTTTCCCCTTTAATCTGCACTTGAGAATATATTCTTTATTGATTTTTAGAGAGAGGAAGGGAGAGAGATTGAGAGAGAAACATAGGTTGGTGCCTTCTGTATGCACCTTGACCTGTATGCACCCACAACCTTTGTTGCAGGGGACAATGCTCCAACCTACTGTACCACCCGGCCAGGGTGGTAGTTCTATTTGTAATTTTTGAGTAACTTCCACAACGGTTTCCATAGTGACTACACTAATTCACAACCCTACAAACAGTGCCTGAAATGTCCATTTTCTCCACATGCTCGCCAACACTTATTTGTTGATTTGCTGATAATAGTCATTCTGACAGGTGTGAGGTGATATTTCATTGTGATTTTACTTTGCATTTCTCTGGTGATTAATCAAATTGAACATCTTTTCATGTCTTTTGGCCATCTGTGTGTCCTCTTTGGAGAAATGTCTATTCAGATTTTCTGCCTTTTTTTTTTTTTTTTACTATTCTTTTTTTATTGATTATTTAGAGTGGAAGGTAGAGAGAAACAATGTGAAAGCATAGCATCAATCGGCTGCCTCCTGCACACGCCCTACCAGGGTTCGAACTGGCAACCTTTTGGTGCCCAGGATGATGCCCAACCAACTGAGCCACACCAGCCAGGGCTTTGCCCAATTTTAAATTGGATTGTTTGAGGGTTTTTTAATGTTAAGTTGGATGAGTTTCTTATATATTTTGAATATTAACCCATCGAATGCTCTAAAAATACCAATTAAGTCCATCTAATCTAATACATCATTTAAAACCACTGTGTCCTTGTTGAATTTCTGTCTGGATGACTTATCCATTGATGTCTGGAGTGTTAATGTCCCCAACTGTTATTGTCTCACTGGCGATCTCTCCCTTTATGTCCATCTTGCTTTATCTATTGAGGTGCTCCTACATCGGGCCGCAGATGATTACAAGAGTTATACCCTCTTGTTTTTATCATTATGAAATACCTTTCTTGGTCTCTTACAGGCTTTGTTGTCTGATAGAGGTATTGCTACCCCAGCTTTTTTTTGTTTGTTTCCATTTGCATGAAACACCTTTTTTCATTCCTTCACTCTCAGTGTGTCTGTGTTTTTTGATCTGAAGTGAGTCTCTTCTAGGCAGCATATGTACAGGGCTTGTTTTTATCCATTCAGCCACCCTGTGTCTTTTGATTGTAGCATTTAGTCTATTTACATTTAAGTAATTATTGATAGACATGTAATTATGGCCAGCTTAGTGTTTCTGATCATTTTTATAGTTCTTCCATGCTCCTTTCTGCTTCTCTTGCTCTCTTCCATGTCGATGATTTTCTGTAGTGTTATGTTTAGATTCTTTTTGTTTATTTCCTGTATGTCTCTTAGAGATTTTTGGTTTCCAGGTTACCATGTGCTTCATATATTCCAGGCTGTTTATAGCAGTCTAATTTGATGGTTGCTTAAGTTTGAACACATTCTAAAATCACTACAATTTTTACTCACCTTCCACATGTTTGTTTGTTTTTTTGAGCTGCTGCTCTTGCTCTGCAGCTCAGAACAAGTGAGTTTGTGAGCACACGAGTCTGTGCACAGTCCCTTTAAGAGGAGTAACTCAGTCTCTAGCAGCCCTTTTTTCTGGGATGCTACCCCAGCACTCATGTCCCAAATTGGGAGGCTGGTGTGGGGCAGGGACCCCTTGCTTTTCGGCAGGGTGGGGGGGGGGGGGCTCAGCTACTGAGATCCCTCCTGATTCTTAACTGCTACATCATGGGCATAGAACTTGCTCATTCTGCATCTCTGCCCCTCCCACCAGTCTCAACGTGGCTTCTTTGTATCCTTAGTTATAGGACTTCTGTTCAGCTAGTCATCGGGTGGTTTTCAGTGATGGTTGTTCTATAACTTAGATGTAATTTCGATGTGGATGTGGGAAGAGGCAAGCACAGACTTCACCTGTTCTGCCATACTGACTGGCATTTGGGGATTATTTTTTCCAGGAGATATTTACTTACCACTAAGGTTGTTACGCTCCTACAATGGAATGCCTCAATGTTGCCTTTTTTTTTTTTTAATGCATTTCTTCTGTATTGCAGTCACATTAACCTGTCCTTTAGAAAAGTTGAAGCAACTGGGCCATGTATAATGGGACATTAAAACTTCATTCTCTTTGGCTGAGTAATTTCACTCGGAGTGTATCTTAAGAAACCACACTACCCTTTTTCATGCCTTCTGCCTTCCTAATAAAGAATTTCCACAAAGATGTTCATAGTGAAGCATAGTAACCTCCATCTTGGGTAAAAACTGCTGTTTAAAATTTTAACCCTGCTATTCTGACTTCTGCAAATGCTTGCTTGCTTAAATAATAGGAAAAAATAAGACTACTCCCATTCCAGAGAGGCCGTAAACTATGCCCCAGACAGAGTTGTCAGTGCTGGTGCCAGGCCAGGCCTTCAGATATGGTCTCAGGGCCCTGTCCCAGAACGCAGGACTTTTTCTCAGAAGGCCCGGAAGTCTCATTCCAAATTTGGAAGACAAAGAGCTGAAAAATGTATAAGTAGGAAAGACTTCCTCTATTTGGGGCCCAGAATTTGACAGACACTCTACTCTGAGCCCGCTAGTACTAGGGTAATAATAAAAGACTCCAAATTAATTTGGCTTATTGATTAAGGTGTCTTCTGATTTACAGTATAACAATAGAATCTTAGCATAATAAAATTCAATATTGCTAACATTTAGGGAAAAAAATCTCTTACCTTCTTTCCCTTCACTATACTGTATATGCTCACATGGCCAAGTATCAACTCCCCACCTCCTGGCTTGCACCTGCACTAGAGCATTGCTGGAATGTAACACCTGAAGGTGCTACCAGGTCCAACTTAAGTTCACAATCACAAGTCGAAATTGGCACTTAGCATTGCCTGACAATTCTATAGTTTCTATTCTCTAAATGACTATATCACAGATACTTTTCCTTTTCTTTTATCTTAAAAAATAGTCTTATACTTCCTTCCACCCCCCCACCCCACACACATTTTCATCTGATGAACTTGTCTCATACTTCACTGAGTAGAAGCAATTAGACAAATAGCCTGTCATCTTCCCACCAACCTACCCCTGTTCATACCTACACCCTGCCTCCCCTCTGCTTTGATGATGTGCCCTTGAACTTCTCACTGTCTGCACCTCACACTTCCCTCAGTCCCCTCCTGTCCACCAGGGAGGACACTGCGACCTCCCCCTTGCCAACTCAAGTGTCCCGCTAGTTTCTTAGATTTTTCAGTGCCATTCTTAGCAGTTGGACACTCCCCCTTTCCAAAAGCCTCCCCTCAATCACACTGTGATGGTTAATTGTGTGTGTCAGTTTGACAGAGCCATGGGGTCCCAGGTATTTGGTCAAACATTCTGAGTGTTCCTGTGAGGGTGTTTGGGTAAGATGAGCGTTTAAACCAGTGGGCCGAGTCAAGCAGATTTCTCTCCCTCAGGTGGGAGGGGCTCCTCTAATCACTTGAAGGCCTAATTAGAACAAAAAGGCTGACCGTCCCTTGACTAAGAGAATTGTCCCTATCTGACTGCCTTAAAACTGGGACATCAGTTTAGAATGAAAATAATTGTTACAGGAAAATATGGATGATTTTCGCCTTTTTCCTGCCTTCAGATGTGAACTGAAACACCAGTTCTTCCTGGGTCTTGAGCCTGCTGGCCCTCAGGTGAAAAATATACCATCAGCTCTCCGGGTTTGAGGCCTTTGGACTCAGCCTGGACCGACACCATCAGCCCTCCTGGGTCTTCAGTTTGCTGATTCACCCTGCAAATCTTGGGGCTCTCCAGCCTCTGTAATCATGTGAGCCAATTCCTTATAATAACGGTTCCATTTCTCTGGAGAACCCTGACGAATACACAGAATCTCTTGGTTTTTCTCCTGCTCCACTAGGTACTCCTTGTCCAGCTCCTCTTCAGTCCCATCTCTAAATGTGAGCGTGTTCGGGGCTGGTTCTAGGCCCCCTCCTCCTCGTTATCTGCATAGCAACCCCCACCAGCGTTCTAATGCAGCCCCTGTGTCTTTAAATAGCATTGATGTGTCAGTGATTCCCAAATCTGTGTCGCCAACCCTGGTTTCTCCACTCAACTTTAAACTCTTGTATTTGTACTTATTGGTCATCTCCACCTGGACGTTTCATAGGCATCTCATTTGGCCATAGAGCATGGCCAAACCTTAACTCTCAGTTCTCTCCCCAAATCTGCATTCTTGTGAACAAACTCTAACTATAGTCAACATATGAATGAACCTAAACAGTGACTTAAAGAGACCAGACACAAAACAGTATGCACTGTAATTGTTCCATTTATATAATGTACAAAAAGGAATGGTACTCTAGACTGACTACATGCTCTTCTTCGTCAGGATGGTGGAAAACCCTTGTGTGGGAGGGAGTAGTAAGTGGCGGGAAGGACACACGTCTAGGATGCTGGTTATGTTGTCTTTTTAGCTCGTTGCTGGTGTGACGTGTTTGTGAAACTTCAGCAGGCTGTTCATTTCCGGTTTGTGCACTGATCCAAAGGGGAA